CAGACGCGGAAGAGGACGCGCACAGAAACCCTAGGGCTCGCCTTCCCTCGTCCCAGCGCCCTAGGGCTCCGCCTTGGAAGCTTCCCCAACCCCTAGGGCTCTAGGGCTACTTAAAGCTTGTGCTAAGAAGGCGATCATTCCCCGTGATGGAAGAATGCGCCATAGAACCCTAAAATAAGAACCCTAAAAACAGAGGATCTGGGTTTAAGGGGAAATTTCTATTGAGATTCTTTCTTTGTATTAAGAGATTCTTTCTTCTTTCCTCAGTGTTTCTTCTTCTCCAAGAGGCCAAACCTCCATCGCATGAAGAGATCTCTCAGCCACAATGGGCTCCATCGCAGCACCAAGAACAGCCCACTCATAAATCCATAGACGAAATGCCTGGGAGGATTCTTCTCGAGTATCGCTCCCACGGCTCTCACAGCGAATTCTTCCGTGGCGGTGGCCTTGCCGGACTGGGACGAGGTAGCTCTCTCGGCGATGGCGCTGGAGAAATCCTTGTAGAGCTTCCACTCGCTCGATCGAAGAGAGCTCGAGGCCGCGGCTCCAAGCTGGGACTTCACCGAGCCGGGGACGATCAACACCACCTGGATTCCCAGTGGCGCCAGCTCCACGCGAAGAACATCCGAGAGAGCGTGGACGCTGGCCTTGGACGCGCAGTATGATCCGGCCCAGGGGGTGGGGACGTAGCCGACGACGCTGCCGACGTTGATGATCCGGCCCTGCCTTTGCTCCGCCATGCTGGGAACCACTGCCTGGATCATCCTCAAAGTTCCAAAGACGTTTACTTGGAAAGCTCGCTCGATGTTCTTGAGTGGAAGCTCGGCTAGCGGCCCGATAGTGGAGAGCCCGGCGTTGTTGACAAGCACGTCGATCCTGCCCTCGTTCCGGAGGATGAGATCCACCGCAGCTCTCACGGATTCGTCGCTCGTCACATCCAGCTGAAGCGTTTGGATCCCCAGAGCTCGCAAGCTTTGCATGCTCTCCACCGGCTGGACGTCCGTGGCGTAAACTTTGAATCCCCGAGAGTGGAAGACTCTGGAGTAGCACGCACCGATTCCACCCTCTGCACAGCCAGTTATCAGCACCACTTTCTCGATCGCCATAGCAGAAAAACAAGGACAAAGCGGAAGAACTCTAGTACCTCGAGCTTGGAGGAGCTTAAAAACAAGAGATTGATCCTCCTAGGGACGCGATATTCGTAGCAGGATATCCACCTCGATCGAGAAGAACTTTGTCGCGATCGCTAACTTTTCCTCCTGGATGAAGATTCCCATGGTGATTCCTAATGCTTCTCTCGTCTCGAGCTCTAGGAAGAAGAAACAGTATTGCCGGCTACCAGTTCTTCGCTTGGAGGAGGCGCAACGATCGAGAGTGAACGATCCTCTTTCTTCACCTCTTCCTCCTCGCGGACATCCGGCAAAGTCTCCTCGTTCGCCGTCTGGTATGATCCATCCATCGTCTCCCAAATGCTGCTCGTAGTAGCACCACCGATCTTCACCCCAAATTCCAACACGCTCTTGAATTCCTCCCAGGAAATCCTCTCGCTCGGCAATTCCGGGACCCCGAGCTGGCCAACGAGCATCGCCACGACCTGTCCCATGGATGGCCGCTGCTCGGGCAAGCCCTGGGTGCACCACATCGCGATCTGGACGATTCTCACCATGGCATCCATGGAATACTTGCGGCCGAAGCGCGGATCGGCCATGGCCTCGATCTTGTTGGACCCTAGCGCCTCCCACGCCCACTCGTCGATCGACACGGGCTCCGGCGCGCCCACATTCACGCTGGATTGCATCCCTCGCCGGCCGCTGACGAGCTCCAAGAGGACGATCCCATAGCTGTAGACGTCGACCTTCTCCGAGAGCTGCCCATTAATCACATACTCTGCAAGAGAGAGAATAAGAACCCTAAAAACAGGGTACTTCAGCCTACCTGGGGCGAGATATCCTCGGGTGCCCATCACGGAGCTCACCACGACCTCGGCCTCCTCGTGGTGCGCGATCAGCTTGGCGAGGCCGAAATCCGAAATGTGCGCTCGCATGTCCTCGTCCAGCAGGATATTTCCGGGCTTGACATCGCGGTGGATGATCCTCACCTTGGCGCAATCTTCGTGGAGGTACTGCAATCCCCGGGCCACATCCAGCGCGATTTGGAGCCGCCGCTCCCAGTCGAGGAAAATGCCGCTGTCCCGACCGAAGAGGGCGCCCTGGAGGCTCCCGTTGGGCATGAATTCGCAGACGAGGAGTGGAAACCCTCGATCGATGCAGCAGCCGATGAGAGGCACGAGATTCCGGTGGCGCACCGAGCTGATCACTTGGAGCTCGTGGTAGAACCAGCGCTGGCACGTCGGGGTGCGATGGACGAGCTGCTTGATCGCCACGATCTTCCCATCCGGTAAGAACCCCTTGTAGACTCTTCCATATGCTCCTTGCCCGAGAAGATTGTCCGAGCTAAACCTCTGCGTGGCTTCTTCCAGCTCCGAGAACTCGAAAGTGGCAAGAGCGGCAGCGTTGGAGTTGCTCAAGCTCTGATGGATATGGTCGATGGAGATCGAATGCTCGCCTCCGGTATGTTCTTCCTCGGGGATCATCCGAGCTTTCTTCTCGGCTCTTCTCAGCCAGCAAGCCAGGCCGACGAAGAGAGTGATACAGACGATGGCGAGGATTCCTATACTCGTTCCAAGGATGGCCCAGAGCTCGCGAGCCATTCTAGAGGAGGATGTGTTACCCGAAATGCCCAAGGAGCTCGTGGTGTTCGCGTAGACTCGGATAGCCGAGATGGTTGGTCCGTGGTATGATCCAGCAGCGCCGCTAGTGTTCCAGCTCCCGGTTCCTCGTAGCTCCAGCTTCAAAGTTGAGGACTCTTCGCCAACTCGAGCTTGGAACTTCAGAACGAGAGGAACGAAGGGACCTCCAGCGACGCGGAAGACGTCCAGCTTCTCGTGCACACGCTGCTCTTGGAGAAACACGTCGAAGACACGTCTTCCGGGGGAATCTACAGTGTAGTTTTCGAGCTCGATGAAGTGGAGCTCGACGGCATAGCTCCCGGGCTTCAGGCATCGTCCATAGTAGGCGATGGAGTCGCCGCCTACTCGAGCAGTCGTGTAAAGTTCCTGGGTGGCTTCCACGAACCTCGAGTCAATCCCACTGGTGGAGGAATTCGTCGAGATGATCCGTGAGGAGGCGGTGGAACCCGAGAGGCTGATGGCCCAGGAAGCAGAGCTCGCTGAACAGGTCGGATTCCCGACAAAGTATCCCACTGAGGTATTCGCAAAGACGTCATCGGCCTGGAAAAAAAGGTGGCGGCTCGTCAAGATGTGCTCGGGGCCGCCTGCGTTGATCGCGAACGAGTCAGAGATTCTGTTGGAGGTGATGTCTGGCGAATGATCCTGCTGCTGCGAGCACGGCGGCTGCAAGCACAGGTTGTGGAGCAAGCCGGTGGAATTCAGCTGGTTGAAGTGGAGGTTTTTCTCGATGCTGGCGGCGTCGAGGATGCTCGCAGGCACTGAGCCGACGAGCAAGTTGTTGGAGAGATCCAGGAGCCGGAGCTTGCGAAGTTCGCCGAGTGAGGCTGGAATTTGACCGGAAAATCGATTGCTCCCGAGCAGCAGCCACTCGAGACTGGACATGCTTCCGAGCGTTTCAGGCAGCTCTCCATCCAGCTGGTTGAAACCGAGGTTGAGGACGGACAGATTGGGCATCCGAGTTATCTCCACCGGCAAAACACCTGTGAAGGAGTTGATCTGGAGGTACAGTCCTTGCAAACCAGAGAGCTGCTTGAAAACAGAGCTTGGAAGTGATCCCGAGAGCTGATTTCCCTGGACCTGGAGGACTTTAAGACTGGAAAGCTCCGAGAACGAGCCGGGAATGGAGCCAGAGATGGAATTGGAATGGAGCCGAAGCGCTGACAAGTTCCGGAGCTTACCGAGTTCGCTGGGAATGGTTCCGTTCAATCCCATGGAGAACAAGGAAAGCTCAACGATGTCACTCAAGCTACCAAGTGAGGCAGGAATGCTTCCAGCGATATCGGAGTTGAGCGAGAAATCCAGCACCTGTAAACTCCGAGCCTGTCCGAGCTGCCTGGGAAGGACTCCCTCGAGCATGTTTCTACCGCATCGAAGAGTTTGCAACGACCTAAGAGACCCGAGCGACTCCGGAACTTCACCTTGAAGGCGGTTGTTCTCCAAGTTCAGATAGAGCAGGCTGGAAAGTTGTCCGAGCTCAGCCGGTATCCGGCTCCGTAGACGGTTTGATCCGAGGTCGAGCACTCTCAGACTGGAAGAATTCCCGAGGCAGGCTGGAACCGGTCCCTGGAGCTGGTTTCTACTCAAGTCTAGATACTTGAGCGACGAGATTGTGCAAAGCTCTTCCGGGATGGAGCCCGTGAGCTGATTTCCTGCGAGCCCGAGGTGCCTGAGCTTGGAGAGGCTAGCTAGCTGGCCTGGTATCGGGCCACCGAGATGGAGCCCGTTCTCACTGAGGTCGAGATGCCGGAGCTGCTGGACTTGTCCGATGGATTCGGGGATGGAGATGGAAAACGAAGGCGACGACGACGTGGTTCTGGTGACTCGGAGGCTGTGCAAGTACCCGAGCTGCGACGCGATGGACAGGAGAATGGAAAGTGCCTGTGGAGTGTCACGGGACAGTTCAATGCCGGAGACGTGATAAGCAGCTGGAAGCGACGACTGGTTTCGGAGCACGCAGGTTACTCCCGGCCAAGTTGATGGTGGCGAGCAGGGATCATTGGCAGCGGCCGCGGCCCAGGAAATCGCAGGAATGGCTCTCAAAACAGCAACTTCCGATGGATCGGTCGCGAAAAAAGTACCTGCTGGAGCTGGAGCTGGAGCTACATCGCCATAAATCTGAGGTAGAGTGGATTCACTGTTGCTGCTACTGATAATCGTCGTGAACAGGAGAAGGACAACTTGGAGAACGGGATGACTGAATCCCAGCGCAAAACCAAACTTGGTCCTCATTTTCTGCGAGCTCACTCACTCACTGGGAAGAGGAAACCCGAGCAAGGAGACTCTTTAATGATCGATCAACATCTCCTCGCGCAGCGCGACGAGAGCGATTGAAATCGCAGCAATGCAACAAAGCGACAGTGGTAAGCTTTTTCTACTCAGCAGAGCTCCGCTTTTTGGAATTAAGACACTGGAAAATCGTCGGCAGATCGTCCGGAATTCGCCATTGCGACTTCGACGCGTGGGTTTCTCTGCCAATTCCCGTAAGCATCGAACAAAAAAAAACGAGGAGTTCTCTCTCTTCTAGAAAGTGTGGAAACTTTGAGTTTCAGGGGTAGCACAGTGATTCCGAGCAAGTCAAGCGCGAAAGAAGAAGCCAAGCCGAAATACTAGCGCGCATATTTTCTCTTTGTCGGTCTAGCGTCGGCGTTGATGGCGATGTACCACGTACGCTCTGGATGCTGACACGTGGACGGTCCACCTTTTATGTGTCTTTGAATTTAATTCTATTGGTGGACATGGCACCTAACGTTGTTGTCCACATCTTATCAAATTGTAAAGGTTCTATAATGTGCTGTGTAGTTTTTTTTTCTTTGAATAATCATGATTGTTTCAAATCAAAATAACTTTAGAAGAAACGTCTGTAAAAATGTTTATAAATACTTGTGAGACCACTTCTAAGTGTCCTGCTTTTGCCAATCTCTCTCATAGTCTCATAGTCTACTGCGGGCGGCGGTAGCGTTTCCAGTCTCGAGTGACATCACTGGCGAGACGATTCTCGTAGCTGGAGGGATTCCATGTCGTCCACTGTTCCGAGTCTTTTCAGCAGCGTCTGGGACTCAATGTTTGATCTCTGCGAAATGACGAGAAGATGGACGAAGACAACGCGATCATTGAGAAGAGAAACCAAAAACTTACAATAGCTCCGTTCTCTGTGAGGTAGCTCGCGAAGTGCGTGGGCAGGCACAAATCCCGGGAGGTGCCGCGGCCTATCCAAAGAGGCCAAAAGAAAAGGAGTTAAAAGAGTATGATCGAAACTAAGTTTGCTAGATTGTACCTGAATGACTTACACAGTGGCCTTGATATTAACTTCCCAAGAGTTTATCGAGAGCCTTGTCGGAGATCTCCACCAGAGTGTCCACTGAGGCGGCATTGGAAACTCGATGCGACCATATTTCTGCAAGGCACAAGAAAAAGAAGAAAAAAAAAAGCTTTTCAAGGAGAGAAGACGTCAGACTTACATGGACAGTCTTTTGCATTAAATTTTGCCTCTGGGCAGCATCGGAAACATCAATCCCAAGCGACTTTGCAACAGCTTGGGATGTTGCAAAGTTAGGGGGTCAAAGTTAGGATGTTGCAAATTTCATCCACATTTTTCTAAAAAAAAACGATAGCCCTCAGCTCCTAGAAGGAACTGATCCCCAATTCTCTCGAAATTTTCCTTTTGTTACCTGCTTGCGTGAGGAGTCAACAACAGAGGCGCCTCCCAATCCTAGCCTTTGAGCAAATTCGAGTAATATTTAATTATAACCATTAAATTAAAATAATTATTAAATCAATTTAATTTAAATGTATGTTCATGATCTTATAGTTTAAACCAATAGAAATTTATTTCATTAAATATAATATTGATGTTAATCATTTTGTAAGAAACAATTAGTAAAGAATAAAATAATTTATAAAATTAGTAAAGTTTTCAATCATAAATATTATGTGTTTTAAGCTGTTTCAAAATAAACTCTTTTTTTAAAGTGTTGTGCATTTTAATATTTTCTAAATAGTTGTAAATCAAAAATATAAATAATTGTTAATATATCTAGTGTAAAAACATACAAATATTAATTTAAAAATAATAAGTAATCAAGTTTTAGTAGTAATACATTAGAGATTAAATAATTTATTATAATAATTTACTTTTTGTTTAATAAATTTTTTATAATATATGGATGAAAATTCAAAGTCTGTTGTTTCTTCTCTTAATTCGTGGACTTAAGTGTCGAATTTCCAATTTATCAAGATTAAACATACATCTTAGATTTGTTGAGTTATTAGTATTTTTTAATTATAAATTTATCAATATAAATAATGAGTTATTAATTTTAGATTCCCTTATTATCTTCAAAAATAAGTATAAAAGTATATAAGTTTTTTAAATTAGTAACTAAATGCTTAAATTTTTTTATAAAGTAACTAAATTTGTTATTTTACTGATTTTATAAGTGTTTTCATTAAATCTGTTGTTGTTCATGAAATTCTACTTTGTTGTATAAAGATTAATAACCTTTGGGAAAATGACTTTAAACTTAGAACAGCTGAAGTAGGACATCATGCAAAATGTATCCTATATTTTTATAAAGGTTATTAGTCTTTATGCAATAAGCATCAATTTTTAGTAGTATTAAATTAAAATATAAATAATTTATTATATTAATTTTAATATTATTTTAATAATTACTACATTTTGGGAAAATAACTTTAAACTTAGAGTAACTGAAGCAATGCAAGATGTGTACTATATTCTCCCAAAAGTTGTTAGTCTCTATGCAACATACATTAATTTTTTAAAAGTATTAAATTAAATATAAAATAATTTATTATAATAATTTTAATACTATTTTAACAATTATTACCTTTTTTTATAAAATATTTTTATATATGGATGAAACTCAAAGTGTGTTATTTCTTCTTTTAATTTCTGGACTCAATGTCCAATCTGTAATTTATCAAGATTAAATATATATATTAAATATTTTAAATTATTAGTATTTTTTAATTATAATTTTTTATCAATATAAATTATGAATTATTAATTTTAGATTCACTTATTAATTTCAAAATTAAGTATAAAAGTATAAAAAAATTAAATCAGTAACAAAAAATTTAAATTTCTTTGTAAATTGACAAGATGTATTAATATTGTTTCATAAGCATCTTCATAATATTTATTATTATTCATGAGACTTTGTTTTTTCCCTTGAACTTGATTTTTTGCACAAAAGAGTCAATAACCAATGGAAAATCAATCAAATTTATTTACGTCGACATCTGTGTGGTCGTGAAACTTTAGCTTGAAATGATCACGAAGATTATCATTTTCATGTAACAGCTTGTGTCTAGAAGAGAATTAATAAAATACCTTTACAGACAAAAAAATAACATTTATTTTACTAATGTTTATACTGTTAATAACACCTTTATCAACTATTTAGGATGTAAGATGGGCTAAACAAGACTTAATCCCTTGATAAAGAAACAAAGAAAAAATCAGAAAAGTTTTTATATGCATAAAAAAAATTAAAACATGTTAAATATACCCTGGAAAGAAGAAATCTAGCATTGGTGAGCCGGAGGAGACAATTACCGATTAATCTTCCTTGATACAAAAATAAAAAGTAAAAGATAAAAAAAGCTTTTATACATAACAAAATGAATAGAAATAAATAAAATACCTAAGAATGAAGGAATCTGCTAGGGATGGCTTAGTTTAGTCAATTAAGCCCAAAGATTACTTTCAGGCCATAGTTTTGGAACACATAGTTAAAAAAAATTTATCAACTTTTTGTGTCTACTTTCTTTTTAAAATTTAAATAAAAAATTAAAAAATTAAAAATCAATTAATTGATTTATAAAATCCAAAAGCACTATTTTAACTGACTTGAAAGTTTAGAATAATCATATAGACACAGAAAAATGCATAAAAGAAAATAAAATTAATTAACTAACAGCTGGGCCGCATAAGACAATTGCCATTTGATCTTCCCTAGTACAGAAATAAAAAACAAAAAAAAAAAAAACTTCTATACACAGAAAAATGCATAAAAGAAAATAAAACATACTTAATATACTTAAGAAAGGAGGAATCCATTGCAGGTGGGCCGGGGCCAATCAATCCCCCCTGATATAGAAACAGAAAGAAAATTTAAGATAGGCTTCAAATACTCACATAAAGGAATATATATGCTGTGAGGATCTGCAAAGCTAGAGGTATCGACAAGAGGACTGGAGTCGAGCTCTGAAAAACCTTCAGTTAAATACAGCACTATACAGAGAACAAAAACAACCTTTTTTTCTCTCCTCCTCAGCACGCACATACATAAATGCCTGCCTGATCAAGTCCTGCAGAGTGGTTTGATGTTCAGTTTTGTATTTCATCCTTGGCAATCGTGAGCAGATCCGTCATCTCCACATGCTAAATCCAGAATAAGTTTGATATAGTCACTAGAACAAGTTCTTACTTGCCAACGAAGATGTTACCCGATGACTTCCTTACCGGCGTATAGTAGGTTTTCGGCATTACTTGATGCAACAACGGGATAAACACATAGCCAAAACGGCCATCTGTAATAAACTTGTAAATGTGATGAAATACTTAGCAAGTAGCTTACCTTGACTACAAATGATGCACAGCGCTTCATCCCTAGCCCGATCGTATAGACCGTCTGGTGTAGCCTCCAGATCCTGGACTTCACCTCCCACATTCTCCTTGTACGAGATTACCTCACGTTTTCTACGAGCCGCTTGCTTCTTCTTACCGGACTGCGTGTGCCGCGTCATCGCTCTCGCTAGAGCGCTGGGCGCGGCGCCGACGATCCGATGGCGCTGGCCGCTAGCCCTAAAAGCCTAAGCCTCAAACTCGAAAGTCCAGGGTTTTATATTCCCGCCAAAACCAAAACTCGTACGGACTATGCTCACCATGTCTTAAGAAGCTTGGAAAATGCAAGGGAGATGATGATCTAGTTCGTGCCAAATCATCAACCTTGAAAGACTGTACCTGGAGAGAAGAAGTCTGGACCAAGTGAAAATTCTTATCATACGTTTTAGTTGATGATGGAAGTCACACGGGAGGAAATGAGAATGACGATTATTGGCTACATTTTCAAGGCTAGTTGATCAGAGGGAAGGTGGAAACCCCACAGCGAGAGGCTGGCTGTGGCGTTTAGAGCGTTTTAAGTTACCATGGGATCCGATTGGTAGCAAGACTTCTTTGGATCCAGGGCACAAAGTCTCATAGTCTACTTTGGATCCCTCCAGCTACAACAATTGTCTCGCCAGTGATGTACGATGCGTCACTCGAGACTAGAAACGCTACCGCCGCCCCCATGTCGTCCACTGTTCCGAGTCTTTTCAGCAGCGTGTGGGACTCGATGCCTGATCTCTGCGCAAGAACGAGGATATGGACGAAGACAACGCGATCATCGAGGAGAGAAACCAAAAACTTACGACAGCTTCGTTCTCTGTGAGGTAGCTCGCGAAGTGCGTGGGCACAAATCCCGGCGCGACGCCGTTCACTCGAGTTTTTGGAGCGAGTTCCATCGCCAGCGCCTGGAAAGAGAGAACAACTTTAAAACCAAAAGAGAGGACAGAAAAGAAAACATTCAGACCTTTGTCAGTCCGAGCAACGCTGTTTTCGTGACGCTATACATGGCGAGGCCAGGGGAGGGATTATATCCGGCTATGGAGGAGATCAACACAATTGATGAGCCCTCTGATAGATGAGGCGCCGCCGCCTGTCCAAAGAGGCCAAAAGAAAAGGAGTTTAAAGAGTTTGATCGAAACTAAGTTGCTGGATTGTACCTGAATGACTTGCACAGTGGCCTTGACATTAACTTCCCAGAGTTTATCGAGAGCCTTGTCGGGGATCTCCACCAGAGTGTCCACTGAGGGATTTGAGGCAGCATTGGAGACGAGAATGTCGATGCGACCATATTTCTGCAAGGCACAAGAAGAAGAAAATAAAAAAAACTAAGCTTTTCAAGGAGAGAAGAAGTCAGACTTACATCGACAGTCTTTTGCATCAAATTCTGCCTCTGGGCAGCGTCGGAAACATGGCACACAACTCCGAAGGCATCGATCCCAAGCGACTTTAAAGACGCAACAGCTTCGTCCACATTTTTCTGGAAGCGGTCAGCTCCAATTTCGCCCAAAACTCACACCTCTTCTCTCAAAACATTCATTTTGTTACCTGCTTGCGCGAGGAGACAACAACCGAGGCGCCTTCCAATCCTAGCCTTCGAGCAATGCCAAATCCGATCCCCTGCGTGGACGCGGTCACAATCGCGACCTTACCGCGGAGCCTCGACGCTTCCACCGCTACTCGATCCGCCATTCCCAATTGCGCTGCCCTAGTAGCTCCATGGTCACTAACTAGAACTTAGAAATTTTCTCGAGCCTATCGCCAGCCTTTAGTTAAAATTAAAGCGTATAAATTAATTTTAAAATTTAAAATTCAAAAAAAGCTATATTTTTAAAGTTCGCTTGAGAGAGGTTTCGAACCTTTGACCTTGTGGTTAACAGCCACACGCTCTGACCAACTGAGCTACTCAAGCTTTATTTATTAATTAGAGGTTAATATATAATTATAGATAACTGAGCTTCTCAAGCTTTGTTATTTAATTAAAAATTTAAGCTAAATATGTGATGTATTTTATTTTATAAATTCGCTTGAGAGAGGGGTTGAACCTCTGACCTTGTGGTTAACAGCCACACGCTCTGGCCAACTGAGCTACTCAAGCTTTGATTATTAATTAAAACAAATCAACTAATTTATTACTTCGAGTTAACTTTTGATTTAATTGTAGCATATTCTAGATTCAAACGCTCTGGCCAACTGAGCTACTCAAGCTTTGATGATTAATTAAAACAAATCAACTAATTTATTACTTCGAGTTAACTTTTGATTTAATTGTAGCATATTCTAGATTCAAGCGGATAAAATTAGGGCAGAAGGCATGGCTATGGCAGTGGCGACAGTGAGAACACCGATTGAGCAATGGAGTTTCTCAAGAACAGTGTCTCGCCGCTCCTCACCTCCAACATTCAAGGTTAGCAAAAGCCATTCGCATTAAAATCATCTGGAAAGAGCCATTATAGATTGCCAAGGGCCTGAGCATTCGATGCGCTCGCGTTGGCGGTGTGGAGATCCCAAACAACAAGCGCATCGAGTCGTCGCTGCAGTACATCCACGGCGTGGGCCAGACGACCGCGCGCCAGATCCTCCTCGACTGCGCCATGGACAACAAGCGAACCAAGGATCTCTCCGACGCGGAGCTCACCAAAATCCGTGACGAGCTCGGCAAATACATGATCGAGGGCGATCTGGTAACGCAAAGTTCCATTTTCTATCAGAAGTCTTCCTTTCTCTCAAAAACGTTCTCTTTTCTTTTCTTTTCTAGAGGAGATTTAACCAGCTCGCGATCAATCACTTGATCGAGATCCAGTGCTACCGGGGTAAGAGACACCAGGCCGGATTGCCCGTGAGGGGCCAGAGAACCAAGAACAACGCAAGAACGCGCAAAGGAAAGAAGAAAGGTGCTGTAGCGGGCAAAAAGAAGGCTGGAAGATAGAACTTGCATTGTCTATGATCAAAATCACATCTCTCCTCGAAGAGAAAACACTTCTTTGGTGGTCACCACCAGAAAAGAAGCTTCTTGCTCGACTTCTACGTTTACAAGTCTCTGGAATCTGGAAAACTTTCCAGCTTCGCAAAGGAAGAAGGAAACACTTACCTGGTGTTTTGTTTTTCTTCGTTATCAGTGTACAGTAGATACAAACGCTGCTTCTAGCTCGCCGTGTGCTTTCTGGAGCGTTTCTTGATGAGCTTGGAAAGAGCTGCCTTGGCCTCGTCCAGAGTTTCCACCGGATGACCACCGTCGAATGGTAACCTCTGCACATTGAACTGCATAAGGGGCTGGGGAAACTTAGGAAACTTTGCCAAGCTTGAAAAAATACACCCACGACAAGAAACACGAGAAAGAAAAAGAAGAAAAGGCGAAGAATAGTACCTTGGATCCTTGGCGGACCCGGATATCTATGCCTCTGCTGTCGATCGAGATCACCGCTGCCTCGTCCACTTCCGTCTGGGTCTCGGCGGCGAGCATTTCCTTGAGTGGTCTCGAGAAGATCGCATTCAAGGCCTGCAGTCGTGTCAAGAGATGAAACTACATAAAAAAATTCTAGCAGTCAATGCTACCTTGAGTGTATCTTCATCGCCATCAGCAGCTATGACATCGGGCTGCACAGATTCGTATTCATCCACGCCCACCCAGGCTACAGTGCCAAATCCTCCCACGAAAAGGATGTCACTGGACCACCAAAATCGAGTTTTATCTTCTCCTACAAAATTCAACTCGCCTTTCCCGTACCTGATTCTCTCCATTTGATAGTAATAAAAGTTTCCCCACTGGTGTGAGGCTCCCTGCTGATGCTTTTTCGTGTATTGTTTATGCGCCCACTCCTGAAAACAACAAGGAAGATTGACATCAATCTTGACGATAAGGTGTACCTGCTTCTCAGATGGAAGAGGATATACATCTCCGAAAAGTGTAGCTCTAGCGTTCCCAAGGCCACTAAATCCAGGGACCTACAAAATAAATAAAAAACTTCGTTAGAAAAACTTATTATTTCCTCCCGCGACTGAAAACCTGAACAACGAGCGTGCACCGAGGATCAACAAGCAAATTCCTGGTGTGTATCTCCAAAGGCGAAAGAGAGAAAACTGGATCTGCAATTTCACAAGTCAATAGAAAGCAACCAGTTTGATCTACTTACGTCCGTGAGCATCGGCAGCAAAGTCCACCAAAGTTCCAAACGGATAGCCCGAGCGGCGGTGATGCATCCGTGACATAGTCGTACAAAGATGAGCATATCGAGCCTAGAAAGTTCTTTCATCTCCAAGTCAAAAAGAAAGCAAGGAAAAAGAAAAAAGAGGTATTGCCTGTTCCATAAGGTTCCTCACGGCAAGAGCAGGCTTTGGCAAACCGTGAGACGAAGTAGCGCTCTCTACTCCGCCAGAGATTGGTGTCCGAAAAAGACCGGCAGTGGAAGTCAGCTTGGAAGAATGCTCGCTTGCATTCTCTGGCACCTAAAAAATCCCAATCAGCATCAAAGAAAAACTTTTCGAGAATTTTTTCCTACCCTGGGGGCGGAGCGATCTTCCATCGGCACGAGGACGCCGTTGTTGTTGTTTGATCCCGCGGCCAGATCCTCGGCATTTCCCTGATCGCCAGAAGAAACACACAAACTGGTACCGAAAGGAAATCTCTGGCGAGCAAATCCAAGGCGCGCGTGGCCCGCTGTGCCGAAGCTCAATCGCGACAGGGGATGCTGTGACGAGGAAGACGATGACGCCGGCGACACTGCCGCGCCTTGCATCCTTGCCCTAAACCCTAAACCCACAAAAACCCGATTTTGTCCCGGAATTTGCGGAAGAACCCTAAAACAGGGAAAATTTGCGCTGGGCTCGCTCAGGTGGATCGGTCGCGAGGGTGGCGCAATCGAAAGCGATAACAGGAATGTAAGAGGTAAGAGTCCCGTCACTCCGGTTTTCGAAAGCTCTCTAAAAACTATGAGAAAGCACGAGAAGGTAAGCTGAGGCGGAGAAGCAGCGGAGAAAAATATCTCCTTTTGCAGCGTATCAAACAGCCTGGTGGATATGTACTCCAAGTATTGAAGCTTGGTGGAGGCCAGGAAGATCTTCGAGAGCACGCAGCTTGGTCTCTTGGAACTCGATCATCATGGGGTGTGTTGTCAACGGGAAAGCTCGCAAGCTTTGGATGAGAAGATCTTGTCGCGGACTTTTGTGGCGGCTCTCAAGTCCTGCTCGAGTTTGGCAGCTCAGGAACAGGGATTAAGAATCGATGGGAGGTTTCGAGCTTGGATTGAGGAAGAGTTTTGCACCAAGAGATCGCCAAGGAGCAACACTGTCGTCGCCATCTCACCCGTGGATATGTATATGAAGTGTGGAAGCATTGGCTAGGCCAAGAAAGATTTCGAGAAGATGGACTCGAGTTACAAAGTAAATGAAAGTTGATCCACATTTTAAAATGAACATTACAAAGTACTTAAATTAAATGAAAGCTGACCCACACTATATAGCAATATTACATAAGAAAATCTACCTAAAACACATAACTCTTGTCATTCTTGCATTTGTTATTGTTAGAAAATGTCTAGAACAAAAAATAAAATGGACTTGCAATTTTTGGTAAAACAAATTCCTTGTTTTTGGGCAAAATGTGGAGAAGGTTGTGAGTGTGTTGGGGGGAGGGGGGGGCGGAGAAGGCACACCAAAGAGGAAGGGGACCACTTGAAATGGTGGGGCAGAATAGTCCAGAATGTGTGGGGATGAAGAGTGACTAATGCATATATATATATATATAGGTAAAATAATCGAAAGAAATTAGTATATTATATTCAAAACCTAAATTTAGATCCATCAATAGCGATTTAGTCAAATTTACAAACATTAGGTTGCATGCATGAAACATTTAAAAAGCTAGCTATCAACACACATGAAGCACAGTAAAATGGTCAAAATGTGACTTGAACACACTTACGTGAATGGATGGACGCAGGCAGCGCCATCAGCATCACAGAGGAATTCGTGTTAGCTAACAAGTTTGACTTAATTTAATATTTACTGAATATGCTAGATGAATATGCATTTTATGAAAAAATTTCAATATATTGATATCTGCACAAAAACCCTGAAATCCTTAAAAGGGGAATCCTAGACAGTCTCACTGCAGCATACCTTTGCAGCTCGCATGAATGGCTTCCTTCATACACTCATATCATTATGGTGGCCATGTTCTGATATACAGGGGTCCTATGATTGCAATTTGTGGATGACAGGAACTTATCGGCTGGAAGGAAGACAATCTGATTGTAAGTTTTAGCAGCTGAAGAGAAAAAAACTTGAGAGGACCATACCATAACTTGCTGGATCAAGTACTTACCTTGCTCAATGGAAATGAAGAAAAGCCGAGCGCACACCTCCGTCCTTCCAACGCGAACAATGCAAAGAGAAAAAGAGAGAAGCCGGTGCGAGAAAGGATATGCTACTCTTCACTTTCTGTGAAAACCTGTCGGGGGCATGTTGGAGAAGTGATGGAAGGTGAGAGCTGAGCTATCCTGGTTCGAGTTGGATCAAACAAGACTCATCAAAGCAAGGATTTCAAAGCTTGCAGCAGCCACTGTCATCATTACCAACAGTAGAGCCAAAAGAGAATGACCGCATATCACAACCAACACCTGAAAGAGAAACCTCTTGTAAACTCTCTGAGCACAAGCTTGCGAGAGGACGAATATACCTCGAGCGATTCGGCATTATAGAGGAAGTGCCAACGAATTTCGAAACCCTTAGAAAAAGTGGGGAATGGCCTTCACCTAGTTGCGAGGGAGGCCTATCTGCTCTCACTCCCGATTCACGTCGCTAGTGTAGGTCGAGCTCGAGAGAAGAGAAAATCAATCAATAAGTCGATCCATCACTTGCAACGATCACGCTCAGTTGTAGTAAAAAAGAGAAGGCGAGACAATGCCGAGAAAGCTTCGAAATCCTGGCCAAGTTCTCAAGCGTAACTTGGTGAAGAAGAATTACCATTCCCCAAAAAAGGCCCTTCCAAGCTGCATTGTTCTTAGAATCATTGCCACCACCCTTGCAAAAAGAACAAAAACGATGGCTATGTTTAATAACTTATCAATTAGGGCTTCTTTGTCTATTTCTATTAGAAACTTCTCTAGGTCACTAACCTCTCTGAGAATGGCATGCAAAAGGGAATTTATTGGCAGTATTCCAATTGAAATAATGGGAAAGCTGTTGAAGCTCAAGGACATGAATCTAGAGAATAGCCATTCCAAAGGAGTTTGGACGCTTGAAAAACCTTCAAGTGCTTAGTCTCTCTCTTGGCAATTGCTCACTGGTGCAAATACCTATTGGTAGTCCCCACTAACATGATGGGGATATGGGGATCATCACCAAGACTTTCTGCAAATCAAGGGACGAGAGAATATGGGCTAGGAATGTGTTTTTTGGACGACTACTCTGCTGGACTTGTCATCTAACTCCTTAAGTGGAGAGGTTCGACCAAGCCTTGGAGGGTTAATCAGTGTTCGATATCTCAACTTGTCACACCACAACATCTATCATATAAGCTCCCCAGAAGACTCCGCAGATGTCATACAATTGCTTGTACGGAGAGATTCCAACGGAGTTTGAAGAGGTGAACACTTTGTCATCACTCAACCTGTCATTTAATGAGCGGGGGTGGCCAGTTCAACACATTCCTAGCTATGTTGGGAACCCAAGCTTGTGTGGAAGGCTGCTGAGAAAAGCATGCTCTCAGCAAAGTGATCCAAGTTTCAATCTTAAGGATCTGGATCAAATAAGCAAGATCTGGATGGTAGAATGATGGCTGCTTCTTTTGGCACGTAATTAGTATACCAGCCTTGTTTGCATGGTGGTCACGGAGAATAAACTCGTGACTAATAAGATGGTCACAACGCACAGTCACTTCCCCGTAAGATATGTGTGTGGTAAGGCATTCATGCGAGCTTTACATGTGAATGACAGGCTTCTCGCTCTCCGCTTTCATTTTTTCTCTCCCTTAGTAGAGAAAGATAGAAGGCATGCTGGAAGGCGAGACCTGACAGTCGGATCAATCAAAGTGAGAATCAGCAGGCAGTGTTGTAAGCCAAAGCAGCGAAGCAAATAAAGAGTGAGCGTTTAGACTACGACAAAGAGTATGATGTCCGGAGAGCCCTCAGCGGTCAACCGTCTTGCACACTCTTGCATTTTTCTAGAATGAACAAAACAGTCATTCTTGCGGAGGCAGACTCGCGGTGCAGCGCTTGCCAGATGACTTCTCCATTTTGGCCATGATGGATTGCGAGAGCGGCATGCTGTTGCAGACTTATAAACGCATGCAAGCTTAAGCGTTGTTGTTGCATTTCTAAGTTACAAACATAATCAATAAGAACATTGATATAGATTATTATTGCTTCATTTCGAGTCCCTTATTCAGGAGTACATATACTTGCATTGCAGCTGCGCTCCTCTTCCCTGGAGCAAACAAATCATGAGAGAAGCGTGAGAAGAAAAAAGAGAAAGATTATAACCTTTGAACGTTGAAGCTCAAGGGCAGCACTGAGGGAGGAGTTGTTTCACCAAGGGGATGCTGCAAGAGCAAGTGGGCGGCAAGCGACTGCAACACTCTGCGATTTTGGTTGGATCGCCCATAGCTCTTATGATGCACCTCACAATGCCCTGGAGATTGGGTAGGGAGCACGGCGGGGGAGCAAGCTGCGCGGGAGCAAGTGTCGCAACCATGGCGAGCACCAGGAGCATGAGCAGAACGGACCTTGCAAAAGCCATGGATGGGAATCGAGAGAGGATAAGAGAAGATGATGGCTTGGTGTTTTGGATTTGCTGCTTATATACACGGAAAACTGGGACTCCACCAAAATTTCGCGGGCCAGCAGTAACGAAGGCCGCTGAGTAAAGCATGCTCTCAGCGACGGTGATCAAGTTGACAATCCCGAGGATCTAAATCCATGGTGGGACTTCACATAATTTATTATTTTCTTATAATAATTACATTTTTTAAATCTTTTGGCATATAATCATAATAATATATTGTAATATAATATGATTAATCTTATAATTAATCTTATAATTATTTTGACTACCGTGCCAGCTTATGCCAATTGAAGCACACTACGCTGTCAATCCCTGTCAATTGTAAGACCCCTTAAGCACGGGCATTATATAATGGCAAACGTGAGATGAGCCGTGCGGTCTAGAACTTCTTACTCACGCTTTACGTGTCATTGTAGAAATAGCATTTGTGAAAGTAAGAAGCTGAAGAAGAAGAAAGATGCGCTAGTGGGGCATAGGAGTGCCAGATTGGACATCTTGTGCCCTCTGCTTACTGAAATGGGAACTCTGGCAGTTGGCATGAGATAGATATGCCGTGAGCGCTGCATGCGTGGCATTGGATAGAAATCCATGGAGAGGGGAGGGGAGGGGAGGGGGGGGGGGGGGAATTGACGCTCCAGTCATGTGCCGATTATGCTGTATAGATTCATATTGGTGTGGGCTAGTAGGTGCATTGCCTGGAGCCCCAGTATATAAGCGGGCAGAGTCTACACCTCCTTTCAAAGCAACCAATCCAGGCATCTGGAAAAAAAGCATATCAAGGGGTGGAATTGTCAAGAATTTAGAACACTTGGATATGGTTGCAGAGTTGGAGAAAGTCACGGTTGGTTCAGATGTCAACTGAACGCACTGGACAGTAAACCCTGAGAAGACTCTGCTCTTAGCATATGGACGTGGGAAAAAGATGCTGCAGCCTCTCTACTATGCTGGACAAGAAATCAGCAAGGCTGGAAGCCAGGTATCCAGTCTCGAGTGGCAGCACAACAATTTTGACATACAGTTGATGTTTTGAAAGAAATCAGCAAGGCTGGAAGCCAGGTATCCAGTCTCGAGTGGCAGCACAACAATTTTGACATACAGTTGATGTTTTGAAAGATCCTGTGCCTCACTATGGCCTAGTCCTTGTCGGGGTGATCCCATGATCCAGGTGGTGGTTAGGGTGGTTTGGCGAGTTGACCTTCCAGATGGGGCTTCCCACCATGGAGAGCATCCATGAGGTTATTTCAGCTGATTCATTCTCTTGGGTTCAGGAGCTTGGCTGCTGCCCAGGTTGCGTCTTCATTATCATCTCCCTATGGCTGCAATTGTGCAACGATTGGGGCGGTTCAAGGGTCGACCTCTGTGATCTGCACTATATATTCCCATCCGACCAGCAGATGAGATGATATTCGTGCTTCGACCATTCACATGTTTGGCATGTGAATCCCATTATGTAAAGATTGATTGTCATGGAGGGCTTTTAACCACTCGCATATAGTTCCTGAGACCACATAGACCCAATGGAGAGCTAGTGAAGCCTCACTAGCTTTGTTGTCCTAGTTCAGCTCTTCCCAGTATGACACTGGAGTGGTTGTGGTGTGGGGATCCTCCTCGACCACTCCATTCAAGCCACTCTTCAGTATCGAGACTTACAACAATCTCCAAGAGGTTTACACTGTTGCGAAGGTTGGGCTTTACTGGTGGATGCAGCAAAGAGAAGAGTCCAAAACAGAGTTTGCAACACTTGAAAGACCAAGACATGTATGGTCCGGTATCCTTGGAGCAATTCAAGAACTATTAGTACATGTTACAGGTTTGGGAATTTCTTCTTGAGCTCCACAATCTGCTGCTCCAGAGGGTGATGTCTCACGAATCCGCTCGTCCAAAGTGAGTGAAACCGTTGTTCCCTAGGTAAGGCTTCACATACCAGATGTAGTAATTGTGGATGGAGCAATCGTTTTTTTAGCAGATGTTAAAAGTTCTGCAAAAGTTCTGTCCTTATGGTCACAAAATGCTCAATGGTGTAGCTTGCATGGGCTGAGGGTTGGTGGCGTGGTGATGATGAAAGTTGTGCAATGTTCTTGTAGCGGTGGTGGAGTGGCGCTGGTCGTGGAATGTTCAATGGAGTTTGGGTAGTCATGGTCTGTAGTGGCATGCCTGGGGTGGCAGGATGAGGGTGCCCCTGAGGTGACACTCTTGCAATTGTGTTTGTAAACGCTAGTCACAGGGTTGGCCATGGTAGGGTTGATAGGGCTGCACTCGTTGCCGGTAATCAACGGCAGTTCACTTGTGAGTTGAAATTTTCCTTATGCGGACTCACCAAGAGGAGTCCACAATTCTTCGCCACACCCATCCTTCAAGAGATGCGCTTTCCAGCTGGTACCCATAGGAGCACAATGACGCCATATCCATCAACACAAGACATCCAAATCTTCGCTGAGAGGAAAGCGCTTCGCCGCCATAGCCCCACTTCGCTCCTCACCACACCACATCGTCTAGGAGCCCAGCGCCAGCGCCGATAGCTTGAAGAAATAGTTCTACTCTTTTATTTGATGCAAGCAATAATTGATGAAGTGGTAAGCGACAAGTTCTAGAGTTTGTTGGAGATCCGAGGAGATCCAGCGGAAGCGATCCACGTAATGGTGGCGCAAAGCATTTGAAGCACGCTCACTGCCAAGATTTGTGTGTCGCATTCTCAATCTCTGAGAGTGATCCAATTGCTTTTTCAGCCTGTGTCACCTTAACGCTAAAGCCTGTGAGGGGTTTCATTTTCGATGTACCTTGACAGCCCCACCGCCACCACAGAACGCTACCAACAACGCCAACACTGCTACAGGCCGTCGTCCTCTACGCTTGAACTTCCAAAGTTTTTGTTCCTCTCGCACAGTGGATGCAAATCCTTTCCGAGGAAGGAATCTATTGCCTGCTGTCCAATCCAATCTGCAGCAACTGAAGCAGCGATCGGTGTTAGTATGCGTTGAAATCAAAAGAGCACTCACAACTCTTAGCATAAATCGAACGCTGGAGACCGACCGATGATGAGCACTAAAGCTACTCCAGGAACACGAGAAGGATTTGCAAATCTTTCCAGGGGCAAGCGCACAAAGAACAATTCTTCTTTCACAACGCTTATTCTGTGCTATAAACGCAGAAACACGAATAACTCCCTAAATTGCGGAAGAGCCCTAAAACAGGTCGCTTAGGGTAGCGCGATCGAAAGCGATAGAAACAGGAATGTGGCACAGCCAAGAGGTAAGCGGCCGGTATTCGATGCCAAGGAAGCTCTCAGAAACTATGAGAAAGCACGACAAGGTAAGCTAAGGCCAAGCGTGTCCATCCTCGTCGCTGCTCTCAAGGCCTGCGGCGTATCGAGGGATTTACAAGCCGGAAAGAAGATCCATGCCGAGCTTCAAGGCGATCAAAACGCCGGAGAAGAAAGTTCTCAGAGTTCTAGAGATTTACCAGCGGAGAAAAATATCTCTTCCTTTTGGAGCTGCAAGAACCGCGATGCCGCAGCCAGCATTTGCGTGTCAAACAGCCTGGTGGATATGTACTCCAAGTGTGGAAGCTTGGCGGAGGCCAGGAAGATCTTCGAGAGCATGGTCCATCGCAGCTTGGTCTCTTGGAACTCGATCATCATGGGGTGTGTTGTTAACGGGGAAAGCTCGCAAGCTTTGGATCTCTTCGCTCGCTTGCGAGAGGAGAAGATCTTGTCGGCGGACTCTCGGACTTTCGTGGCGGCTGTCAAGGCCTGCTCGAGCTTGGCAGCTCAAGAACAGGGATTAAAGATCGATGGACTTGGAGTTCTCGTCAAGGTTTCGAGCTTGGATCGAGGAAGAGTTTTGCATGAAGAGATCACCAAGGCCGGGCTCGAGAGCCACACTTTCGTCGCCAGCTCGCTCGTGGATATGTACATCAAGTGCGGAAGCATCGGCGAGGCCAGGAAAGTTTTCGAGAAGATGGATAGCTCTCGAGACGAGGTGGTGTGGAACTCGATGATCCTGGGACTGGCGCAGAGCGGGCAGGGTGGAAGTGGGTTGGAGCTGTTTGATCGCATGCAAGAGGAGGGATTCACGCCGAGCTCACGGACTTTCGTCGCTGCTATCAAGGCTTGCTCCAGCTTGAGTGGTCTTCGTATGGATTCTGTGAAGAAAATCCAGGCTCAAGCGCGAAGAAGTGGCTGCGAGCTCGACTTGTTCGTCGGAAACTCGTTGCTTGACGCGTACGCGAAGTGTGGATCGGTCCAAGAAGCTCGCGAGATCTTCAAGAGGATGGAAGTGAAGGACGAGGTGACTTGGAACTCGATCATCCAGGGGTTTGCATCGAGCGGACAAGCAGCGCTGGCCCTCGAGATCTTCTCTCGGATGGAAAAAGAAGGATCTATCAAGCCAACTTCGCGAACTTATGCCGGGGCCTTCACAGCTTGCTCGAGTTTGGAGGACGATCAACGAGGACTGGAGGTTTACTCGCAGTTCCAGAGAGCTGCGATCGATCTGGACGCTTGCGTCGCGAGAGCTCTGATAGAGATGCTGGCCAAGTTTGGAAGAACAGTGGAAGCTCGCAGGATCTTTGAGTCCGCGATCGGGTCCTGCCGCGACGCAGCGATTTGGAGCTCCATGATCACCGGATACTCGCAGTGCTGCGAGGGAGAGCTCGCGTTCCAGCTCCTCCTTCGCATGATCGACGAAGGCATCGATCCACAGCCTCCAGCTCTGATCGCTGCTTTGAATTGCTTCGCCAACGTCGCTGGGAAAGAAAGAGAGGCAGGTGGCGGCAAGAAAATACCATGGCTGGAGCGAGGGAGAGTTCTTCACAGCTTTGCTCGAGCAACGGCGATGGATATGAACTTGGAGAACAGCCTCGTCAACTTTTACGCCAAGTGTGGAAGCATGGAAGAAGCGAGCGTGGTTTTCCACGGGATGATCCGTCGCGACGTCGTCTCGTGGACTTCCATGATCTTGGGACACATC